GGCTGGGGATTCGAACCCGCCACCTTAGGTGTATGTGGCTGGCGCCTTAGCCGGCTGAGCTATAGGCGCCGAGCCTATTTTGTTGTTTTTGTTATTGTTGTTGTTCTTGTTGTTTAGCAGGCCTGGGCTGGATTCGAACCCACCAGCCCTGGTGCATGTGGCCAGCTCCCTGACTACTGAGCTACAGGTGCCCCCTGCAGCTGATGGTTTTCTAAAGTGAACATCTGACTACTTCTTTCCTTTCTTTAAATCTCTTCTTTGCCCACTAACCTCAAGAAAGACCAAACTCCCTAACATGGTGTATAAAGTTTTTCAGGATTGGTCACTGGTTATCTTTTGCCAACTCTTCATCTTCCCACCCCTTTGAAATCTCCACTCTGCCCAAATTTGTGCTGGCCATTTGAAATGACCTGCTCCATGGCCTCTCTTGCCCATTTGCAGGATGCCGTCCCATCTGTATGGAGATTCTTCTCCACCTTCAGATCCTTCATCTTGGGTATCCATTCCTCACCATCACACACTTGGGTCAGTGCCCTCAGGTCCTCTCCTCTCAGGCAGTTAGCTACCTGTCTGTCTCCCCCACTACACCCAAAGCAACAGGGACTGTATCTGTCTTTCCTTTGTTGTTCTCCTTGTTCCTAGTACAGTGTAGATGCTCAGTAAATATGTTGAAAGGTCAATTGAGTTGAATGAATGAATGAACTCCTCTGGGCTCTCACAGCTTCTTGGACTTGGCCTTACGGAAACATCTCTCTCTTTGCATTACAATAGCCTGATTACTTTCCATCCTCCTTCCTAATCAGGGGGCTTGTTTGGGGTGGAAATTGCTATTATTTCCAGTGTGGAGCACAAAACCCAGCACATAGTCAGAACTTAATAAACACTTACGTGAATGTTGAACATCAGTGGAAAATCTGCCAATCAGACTGACCAAAAAACAAAAATAAAGTTGTTTCTGGGCATACATAATTTGGCTGGGATTTCTTACTGTACATAGGTAATAAATCCAAGTTTTCTACCAAGAAAATTATTACTGGTTTTGACGACAGAATTAAATATATCAAGATTTCAAATGGCCTTTATGTATATCCTACCCCCACAGGAAACCCCAAGTCAGTCACCAGATACATACTCATCAATAAAGTTAGAAATAAGAAAGTTTCCATCCTGAGCTATAGTAAGCTTGAAATGTTGAAATCCCTAAAAATACCAAAACCCATCATTTTGAAACAAATTCTGTCCTACCACCTTCACAATTTTGCTCACGCCACAAATCAGTGGACTATAGTTTTCTTTATAAAAATTACTGTCTGATCTTCTTTGAGATTCATACAAGATTGTTTTCAGGAAATTCACTAGTATTACCAATAAGGAATTTCACAAATGAAATGTATCAGTTAGGATGCTTTAGGCTTCAAGGAGCAGACTATCCAATTACAGATAATTTATGCAGTGAGTAGTTAATAACCTCATAAGACAAGAAGTCCAGAGGCAAGCACTCCAGAATTCAATAGCTCTATGATGT